AAATCACTAAAAGTGCGTTAACCGACTAACAWAAAACGTCAGAAACACTAAATTTTACGGAAGAAATGTCAGAAGGAAGCTGCATCCAGGCTTTTTTTAAAAATTGCAAATGGGCGTGGCGTCGCCCACTTATGAACCATAAACCATATCTCAGGAAGTACTCAACCGATTTCAATGAAATTCGGTGTATAATATTTTCTTAACACCCTGATGACATGTACCAAATATGAGTGAAATCGGTTCACAACCACGCCTGAAATCTCGATTATCACTTTATAATGCGAGAGTATAAAATGTTCGGTGACACCCGAACTTAGCAATTCCTTACTTGTTTTTTATTTATTTAAAAAATTATGTTTTTCGTTTTGTAATTTATTTGCTTTTGAATTTCAAAATTTTAAGGGTTAAATCAATGACAACATATGTACATATCAAATAAGCGTAATGAAAAATGAAATACCAGATACATACTTATTTCACTTGTTGAATATACTTTAGTTAATAACACAAAATCTTCAAAATGTAAACATGAAATGCACGAGAAAAACAACAAAAAACTTTGTAGGACATTGTGGGCAAACAATTGTTTCCTAAAAAGAAGTAGGCTCCGCGTAGAAATTGTTGATGTTACATTGAATAATTTTAGCAATTACCTGTGTTAATAATGTAATTTGTTTTTAAAATGTCATTATTCATTGTTCAATTTTTTTGTAAACAAAAACTAGTTCAAAAGTATATAATATAAGCATGTAGTTTATTCATCATACAATATCCATTTCTCACTCATAAAAATATTGTAATGTAACTCGTATGTGAATTAAAGAGCAAGAAAATTAAAAATATACACACATATGACAGACATGTGAATCATTGAAGAATATTTTATCACCGCATTTATAAGGCAGAGATTTTAATTCACAAAAGTATATACGAATGTACCTCAAATACTGTATCTAATAAGTAAAGATAAAGTTGTTACTTATGGAGTACTAATGACCGCCAATAAACAAACGAAAAAGTGCAATAATTACTGAAATCGCATAAATGCCAATGACGAAACATGCATTTGTGTTTATGAATTTTTCGAAATTCATTTGAAACTTACTCTGCAACTGTGGTATTACATTTTAAGGAAATAACTACCAAAATTTATTATAGATATGTATGTATATATTAAACGATTTCCAAAGCAGCAATAAATAAAATATAAAAAATAAAAAAATATACCATATTTCGAAAAAGATAATAGTTGAACAAATGTGAATAATATAAAAACAAAATATTCTGGGTTTGATTCACCTCACATAAAAAAAATAAGTTTTCAGTAAATAATTTTATGTAATTCGGATTATTGTCAGATGTATATTCATTATTTACAAATAATATTGATTAGTTTCCTGACTGGAAAAGTTCTCCGTCCAGCTCCACGGTACTTATGTGTTTTCTAATAAATTTTAAAATAATTTGAAATGCTAATATATTCCATATATAATTTGATTTGAATGTAAGCGCTTACAAAATGGACTTTCCGAATTTGCGAAATTTGTACAACATTCTCCTACATATTCCTCAAAAAAGTAGCGTTATACCTTAACGACGAAGCCTCTCAAATTCGGTGTCTAGATTGGTATCCGGAATATTAGTATTTAATATGAAAATAAACAGTTACATATTATTATATCTCTTATAAAATACATAATATATGTATATATTATGCATATGTAAATTTACCTTTAAGTATTAAAATGTTTAAAATTTTAGATTGTAAAGCATAAAATATGTTAAAATGCATATTGCATAATTT